TAAATCTATTCATATTAATAATTATATATTGAATGTCGATTTTCCGTTTACCTTTTATTATGATCTAATTTACCGAGATGAATTAAAAAACAACAAAAACATTTTATTGGTGATATTATATATACAGGACATATATCTCCGATAGAGCAGAAAACCAAGAAGACAAATTAGCTGGTGAATGTGGTGTGGCGGATCATCTGCTTAGACCTCCGTTTTGCAGTACTAGCTCAAAATCTCCGTGTTTGTGAGTTCACATTAGATATGAATGACATATATTTTCAGTTTTATATAAGTTAAGATGATGTAATATATATACTGATTTTTTTTGAACTCGTGCAGCTGAAAATAACAAAATTCAAGGTACGTTTCTTGATAAGGACGATCCGAAAGTGATTGCGTTGATGCAACAAGCGGAATTGCTGAGTTCACTTGCAAGCAAAATTGACTCGGAGAAGACTGAACAGAGCTTCGAAAGTGCATGGATGGTAATTATGATTTTTTTTTAATCACTTATTAGTTCGACCAATCAATGATTGAACATGTCCTCGTTTGGTTCATCATGAGATTCAAATGACTTAAAGAAATATAGGTGTAACAAATTTGTGGTCCCTTTTCAGACAACCTTAACAATTTTTCATGACAATGATTGCGTTTTTCGGTAATGAACAAATATTGGTCCAGGCCCTTCAAGATTTTCTGAAACAAAAGAAAGAAAGCGATGTGCTCCCTTTTGAAAACCCCGATCCCGATTTTCAACTCGAGAAGTTCGAAGAGATGGTGGAGGATTTAAGGAGCGGTGATGAATACAGTAGACCATCTTGGAGGTATGAACTCACGAGGCAAAAAAGACTCGTGCATTGATTTTTGAGATCAGTATTTTGCTGCCAGCTGTATCTAAATCGACGGTAGTTTTTGCAGGGAATCTGATGTGTACGACTCGTCGCCTGCCAGCTCCGAATACAGTACGGGGTCGACTATGGTGTCGAATGCGCCAGGTGGCAAAACAGAAGAATGCCACGCTGAAATTGAACACAAATTGCAATCAGATCAATTGGATGGTCTGGATTCTCTTGTTGAGGAAAACGGAATATGCCATGCTGCAGTCACAAATGAAGGTACAATGCGTAAAAATCCAATCTTTGCAGCTTTTATCTAATCTTTAAAGTTGTGGAAATGAGACAATATCTACTCTATTACAGCGAACATGTTAACATACGATGAAATAAAAAACGACGGTGAAGCAGTGTGTGAATATTCTGGGGCTGAATTTGGTTCACCGCTCCACGTGACTCCGTTATTCACAGCATTGGCAGCAGCTATTCCCAGCCCAAAATTCTCGGAGAGTGTAAGAACTTTTAAATATTTTTTCGTAATTAAACCATAGCAGTAATCATTGTGATTTAATGTACAGCATTCTTAGTAGTAAAGTCGTGGGCTATCAAGAAAGTTTGTTCTATCGAGTCAAGAAATTCTTTAACGCAAATTATTTTGTTCTATGTGGCAGATAACTTGATAAGGAAACTTCGGTTTTCAAAATCGAAAGCTTTGATGCATTTTGAACTTTTAGTTTATACTGCAGATACAATGAAACCCTCTTCGGTTCTCATTTCTAAAGTGAAGGCGATCTTAACTATGTTTTCTTACGTGTTATGCTATAACAAATGTACCTTGATGTCAATAAAATATAATTACGCTAAATCAATCAATTTTTTTCACAATTCTTGCTTACCGTTATATCGTGCATTCTTGCAGGAAAAGCACTTCTTGATGAAAACACTAGGAATGGAGTCGACATCACCAAGCCAAATCACAAATGCTTCGAATCCTCCACACTGCAAGAGATCCCTTCTCCATTGTCTATGAGACTATCACAAGTATCTCATGCAGAGTTTGAATTTTTAACCACAACTAGTAAAGGGCGTTTTCGTAAAAGTATAGAGCTTTTTTTTTTTTAATTATTATTATTCTTTTTGGAGTTCTTTGCTCTTGGATTGCAGCCATCTCGACCTGTGTTTTTTTTCCAGGGGGCCCGCGAAGATCTCCTTCTGAACATAGGGTGCTAAGGAAGCATCCTA